GGGATTTAAACCATCAGCTGACTGGCTCTCAGGCCTTTGGACTTAGACTAGATGAAATAAGTCTATCCTCTGCACTCCTATAACTTTTAGGTCAACCCTTCAAGTGCTCCAAGTGCTTAAATCACGTTCTCGATGGAATTAAAATTCTGCCTTCAAGTCACCTCTCTTGAAAACCTGTTTAGAGTCAACATTCCATCCTTGCTACAGGTTGATGACTTCAAGGTAACCTTAGTCACCAGGGTCCTGTTTTCAGGGTTGTAGGTGCCAGAGCTTGATCTTGTCACCTCATCAGAATTGTAAGCATGTTTTTTTGCAAGGCGAAAAGAGGCGTATCTTTTAATTTTGAAATAGTTTCCAATTTACAGAAAAGTTATAAGAATACTGGAAAGAAATCCCATATACCCTTCACCCAGATTCCCCCATTTGTCAACCTTTGACCACGGTTGCTTTATTATTCTATGTTTAAATATATATACACACATACAGCTATCTACATACACATAGACATACACACGTGTATACATATATATGTATACACATAGATATCCCCCTCCCCCCAGTCATTTGAAAATAAGTTTCTGGCTGGGTGTGGTGGCTCACACCTGTAATCCCAGCACTCTGGGAGGCCGAGGTGAGCAGATCACCTGAAGGCAGGAGTTCAAGACCAGCCTGGCCAACATGGTGGAACCCCATCTCTACTAAAAATACAAAAATTAGCTAGGCATGGTGGCATGTGCCTGTAATCCCAGCTACTCACGAGGCTGAGGCAGGAGAATCGCTTGAACCCGGGAGGCAGAGGTTGCAGTGAGCCAAGATCACACTACTGTACTCTAGCCTGGGCGACAGAGCTAGACTCTGTTTCAAAAAAATAAATAAGTTGCAGACATCATGCCCCTCAGGGCATATTTTCCAAGAATAAGAACACTCATTTTCATAACCACAGTACAATGATTAAAGTCAAGAGATGCATGTTGACACAGTACTATTATCTAATATATAGGCCTTATTCAAGTTTTGCCTATTGTTCCAATGTCCTTTATAGCAAAAAACACACCCACAGAAATATCTTTATTTTTGGTGCAGGTTCCAATCTAGGATCACATGCTGTACTGAGTATAAATATCCTGAAAGAGCTAAAAGAAAAAAAAGTTCTTGAATATATCCATCTGGAAAAAACTGATTTTTTTTTTTTAGAGACGGAGTCTTGCTCTGTCGCCCAGGCTGGAGTGCAGTGGTGCGATCTTGGCTCACTGCAAGCTCCGCCTCCCGGCTTCACGCCATTCTCGTGCCTCAGCCTCCCGAGTAGCTGGGACTACAGGTGCCCACCACCAAGCCCAGCTAATTTTTTTTTTTGTATTTTTAGTGGAGACAGGGTTTCACCATGTTAGCCAGGATGGGCTCCATCTCCTGACCTTGTGATCCACCTGCCTCGGCAGATCCCAAAGTGCTGGGATTACAGGCATGAGTCACCGCGCCCGGCCAGCTGTTTTTGTTTTTTTTTTTTAAGAGATGGGGTCTCACTGTATTGCCCAGGCTGGTCTCAAACTCCTGGGCTCAGGTAATCTTCCTGCCTTGGCCTCCCAAGTCGCTGGGATTGCAGGTGTGAACCACTGCACCTGGCTTAATCTACTTTCTGTAGGCCCACAGGAAATCTAATGTCAGGAATTCATTAGGCAGGATGAAGAAAAGTGAAGGGGATTACCAGGTGTGATATAAGGCACTTGTAAGAAGCTCTGTGGCTCTTAATGGAGCTTTTGGTTTTCCTGACACTGAGACAGAAGATGTCCAAGCCTAACTATGTCACTGCTGTCATCATAGAAAGCTTGAGAAGTAGGGGAAAGCTCCTAGCACATGGGTGGGAAATCGTCAGAAATCCATTCTTCTATGTAAGGGATGTGTAGTTTCTGTCCTATTGGAATTTTTAATTTGTCATCAGATTTGCTGTAGTATGGGACAATAATGTGACAAAAACATGGATCCTCAGCCTGATAAATGAGGTCAAGTTTGAAAGCAAGAAAGACACGTGAGTACTTGAATTAAAACCGAAGGCAGTCCTTAGTATTCTACTGTAAGGAATCTGATGCTACTCCCCATCAGGAGCTGCATCTCTCATCTAGTAATCATTATCTCTATCCGTGAGTATCAAAAACCTGGCCTCCCAGTGCTCTCCTTTCTTGGTTTACCATTGAAATCCATTAGGAATACCAGCATCAAATGACATATGCAAGACCACTAACCACTAGAGGAAGAATATTCAAATAATTCAAAAATCGTAAGAGGTATTTAATATTTTCTTTTTAATTTTTTATTTAAAATTTTAAAAATTTATAATAGAGATGGGGTCTCAGTATATTGCCCAGGCTGGTCTTGAACTCCTGAGCTTGAGCAATCTTCCTGCCTTGGCCTCCCGAAGTGCTAGGATTACAGGCATGAGCCACCATGCCCAGCCTAAGTGGTATTTTCCATGAAGTCATACAAATTCAAAGTGGAAGAGAACTTATAGATCATCTCATCCAGCGATTTTTCATTTTGTTTTTGACAGATGAACTTTTCTGTACATAATCGTACATGGAACCACAATATATCGTACAGCACATAAAACAAAAAGGCTGTGGCAGAGAGGATGCCAGAGCTCCATTAGGACCCCTAAATGGTTGTGCAAAATACGAGCTGCACAACTCTGGGAGGTACCATCCACCTCCATCATAATTTTGTTTTTTAAAGCTTTCCAGTGAAGATCAGAAAACCTGCTAGACAAATTCTAAAAGAACAACACTCATAGATTTGTACAGTTATTAATAGGGCAGTCGTCCAATAGAGGGTGGTAGTATCTTGAAGGAAAAGGGATGCCTTTTGGAAATTTGCTTTAAGCCTCTATATGTTGACTGGCTACAGGGCCGAGCCCCATTCACTCAACATTCCCCTCTCCTGAAGTCATTGCTTCCCAACCTATTCCCTGTCACAGTACCTAGAAAATGATGCCTTTTTTTTTTTTTCTTTTTCAGATAGTCTTCCCCTGTTGCCTAGGCTGGAGTACAGTGGCGTAATCTTGGCTCACTGCAGCCTCCACCTCCTGGGTTCAAGTGATTCTCCTGCTTCAGCCTCCAGAGTAGCTGGGATTACAGGTGTGCTCCACCACGCCCTGCTAATTTTTGTATTTTTAGTAGAGATGGGGGTTTCACCATGTTGGCCAGGCTGGTCTCAAACTCCTGACCTTGTGATTCACCAGTTTTGGCCTCCCGAAGTGCTGGGATTACACGTGTGAGCCACCACACCCAGCTGAATGATTCCATTTTAACACAAAGGTAGGGGGAGGAAATATGAATGGAACAGGTCCTGGGGGTTCACCCACCACAGGCCCTGTCTGGGAGGGCTAATGAGATCAGCATGCCAAGGCACACCAGCTGGGAAACTCTTCCCTAAGGAAATGCTGTCAAGCATAGTTTGAAAACTACAGTGACATGTCCAATTCTTTTGTTTCACAGGTGGAGATACTGAGGTTCAGAGCGGGTGAAGGACGTACCCAAGGCCAAAAAACCTGAAAGCGATTTGAGCCAGGTCTCCTGATTCCCTCCCCAGTGTTCATACTGTCTACCTTATTTATTTATTTATTCATACTGTCTACCTTATTTATTTATTTATTTGAGACAGGGTCTTGCTCTGTCACCCAGGCTGGAGTGCAGTGGCATGATCACAGCTCACAGCACCCTCGACCTCCCAAGCTCAAGTGATCTGCCCACCTCAGCCTCCTGAGTAGTTAGGACCACAGACGTGTGCCACCATGCCTGAAAAATTAAAAAAGTTTTTTTGTTTGTTTGTTTGAGACAGAGTCTTGCTCTGTTACCCAGGCTGGAGTGCAGCAGTATGATCTCAGCTCACTGCAGCCTCTGCCTCTGGGTTCCAGCAATTCTCCTGCCTCAGCTGCCTCCTGGGTAGCTGGGATTACAGGCACACAACACCACGCCCGGCTAATTTTTGTATTTTTAGTAGAGACAGGATTTCGCCATGATGGCTAGGCTGGTCTCGAACTTCTGACCTCAGGTGATCTGCCTGCCTCAGCCTCCCAAAGTGCTGGGATTATAGACGTAAGCCACCGCACCCGGCCAAAAAAAAATTTTTTAGACATGGGGGCGGGTCTCACTATGTTGCCCAGGCTGGTCTTGAACTTCTGGACTTTAAAACGATCCTCCCACTTCAGCCTCCCAAAGTGTTGGGACTGTGGGCATGAGCCACTAAGCACGGCCCACTGTGTCTTTCAAAGACTTTAGTATACTTTCACATCTCTTGCTAGATAAAATAGGGTCAGTTATTAGTACATAATTCCAAAAAAGGAAATGACAGAAAAAGAAGTAATATTACCAAGGTGTAGGTCAAGAAAACAAAAAGGAATAAATGCATACCGCTCTGTACCTGGACTTGTATACTACCATGCCCCTAATGATTTATATAGCTCAAGGCAGAGGAAATTGATCATATTGAACCAATATATCAGCAATGGGTTTTTTAAAAAACCAAGCTTTATTATTTATTTATTTTTTTGGCACCATAATTAACAATTCATAGAATGGGTCACTTCAGGCTACTCAAGAGTACCAGTGAACACTCCCCCACAAACACACCCTGCCACAAGACATTTAGCACAGAGGAACAGATCCATGGCCACTGCCTTTGCAGTATCAAAGAGAATTAGTCTTTCCACAAAACAAATCTCAACTCTTATCTGAACAGCCAATCTCTGAATTTTTGTAGTGGCTTTAGTCAGGCATATTTATCATCATATTAGCGGTGTTCAATTCCTGCCCAACATGTTTGTTTAATCCCAATTCAATGCTTATGGATGCTCAGCTCATGTTTAATGTTGCAAGCCCCATCTTAATTCAAACTGAAAAGAAACAAAACAAAAACAAAACCAAAAAAGGTACCTGCCTGGTTCATGCATCCCTAACCATCCAGGGACCAACTTCCAAATTAGGACAACAAAGAGTTCCCTTTAGTTCCATATGACATGTGTTTCCAGTGCTAATCCCAGATGCTAGTCTAGCCAGAGTGTCATCTGGGCCTTAGTCCATGTGTATATCACATACTTCCTCTGGCTTTAGAATGACTTCACCAGCTGAGAAAGGCAAAACAACCATAACCCAGACTTGCATGTAAGTATCTGGCCTCAACTATTAAATAATACTTAAAAGGGAACCTTATGAGCCTTAGCTCTTTCTGGAAATGCATCTGAACAGGGGTGAGGGTGGGTAGGTGGGTGCAAATGGTGGGCTCCCTCCAGCTCAGAGTGCATTTGTTAAGGTATTGCTAACTTTCTGAAAGACACTAGGGACAAAGAAGGGAGGAGACCAAGTGCTAAACACCTTTTATCACTTTTGCAAAAAACAAGAAAGGCCAATTCAATTTATTTTATCATGTGGATCTCTTAAGGAACTACCAAATCTACTAAGGGACCTCCAAGAATTTTGTGACGCATGAAAATCTCCTCTCCTAGTCACAAGGTATAAATACATAAAAATACATGTTGGCAAATTTCTGAATCTGACATGACTTCTCCCAAATACAAGTGTCTTCAGTTCCTTTATTATTGCCTCTTTGCAGCATAATGGTGATGGTAGGTGATGGAGTGACATCAGGAGCGCCAGAAGGAGGAAGTCAGAAAGCCCTTGGGGACAGGAATGTCCTTGTGTTGCAAACATTTCTGGTCAGGGAAAGATGAAGAAAACAGAATGAGTTTCTGATAACAGTGTTCCCAACACTTAATGGTTACAAGAAGCTTTGAGGGACACCATATTTCAGCCCTATGGAACAGTGAACAAAAAGGAAAAAGCCAGTAAGACCGATGGTTCTGTATAAGATGTCCACTTCTGCATGAACTGCCACAGACAACAAATGAAATGCTCTTATTATTCCTGTCCCACTCTTGTCTCCCTACAGCCTAAGCTCATCTTTCACAATCACTGTTTTCACAATCGAGCTTTGAGAAGCTGAAAAGTCAGCAGGCTATCTTTGCAAACCCACGATGGCGTTCTAAATTCTTTGTCAAAATTAACCTTTTATAATTTCTTGGCACTTGGAAGTAGGGGAAGAGTCCAACTGAAAGTGCAGTTTGTTCTCATGGAGAAAAGTGACAACACTTACCAATTCCCCACACCTGAGACTAAGACAAGAACTTTGGCCAACATGCAAAAAAACATATTCATGAGAGAAGATACACTCAATATATTTTATTCATCTCAGCAGAGCTTTCTCACAGGCAGTATGGAGAATGATACATATAAAGAGGAAATGGCAGCCCTTACTCCAAAGGTTAAGAGGGAATTAGGTACAAAAAGAAGGGTTTGGAAGAACTAAGGAAGAGAGTGCAATCAGAGCATCTGAAGGTCCAAGACTTGTTAGACACAGGTGCATTCCAGCCCAACAACAGTGTGGGACATGTTGGTCTAAGGGCATCTTACCTCCAAGAACTGCTTGAGGCGTATGAAGGAACCCATCTGTCCTGAGCTTGTGATAGCTTCAATTCTACAGGGAGAGAAAGACACGTGAATCACACCTATGATATACACCTATCTTTTGGAAGTGGTGTCTCACTCTGTCACCTAGGCTGGAGTGCAGTGCAGTGGTGCGATCATAGCTCACTGAGGCCTTGAACTCCTGGGCTCAAGCGATCCTCCTATCTCAGCTTCCCTAGTAGCTGGGACTATAGATGCATGCCATCATGCCTGGCTAATTTTTTATTTTGTAGAGATGGGGTCTTGCTATATTGCCCAGGCTGGTTTTGAACACCTGGGCTCAAGTGATCCTCCTGCTGTGGCCTCCCAAAGAGCTGCAATTATAGGCATAAGCCACTGTGACCAGTCCCTAATTTGTGTTTTTGTTTAGGCAATGATATTTAAGACAGACTCTCATTAAGTTTCAAAAGCATTTATTCAAATATCAATGAGAGGGACTGGAGTAGGAAGATGTCATACTTAGTACAGGTGTTTTTAACTTGAATCAAAACCAGCAGGTAATAGCACCCTTGGGTATCTGAGGCCTGGTTATGAGTTTTACTTACTTAATCCCCTGTTGTCTGCTCAACAAGCCTGATACCTGGGAAAGTAGTCCTCTTTGATAAGAATTAGCATCTTCCAGAACTGAACCTGGTATTGCTTCATGAGGGCATTCCCACACACCTAGAGGGAAAGACAGGCACTGTCAGAGCAGAGAATGAAAATTCACACTCACAGGACAGATTCATAAAGCACAATCAGCCCTTCATCTTTCACACCTATCAAAAATTTCAGCCACAATGCCACTGAACTTGCTAAAAGGGAATAAATGGAAACACCCAACTTTCTTCTAAAGCATTTCTCTTTATATGGCAATACCTCCATTTAACCAATCAGGTCTTAACGAACTACTGTTCTTTTCCTCTAATGAATGGAAGCCTTCCTAAAGGTATGGTATACCTCCCAAACTTAGTAAGGAGAGTATACAGAATACCACTTGTGTTCTCAAATGATACAGGATCATTGTTCATGTATGGTGACTTCAGGAGCTTTTTATTATTATTATTTTTTAATAGGGTCTCACTGTGTCACCCAGGCTAGAGGACACTGGCATGATCACAGCTCACTGCAGCCTCAACCTCCCTGGGCTCAGGTGATCCTCCAACCTCAGCCTCCCCAGTAGCTGGGACCACAGGCACACGCCACCATACCCAGCTAATTTTTGTACTTTTTTTGTAGACATAGGGTTTCACCATGTTGCCCTGGCTGGTCTTGGAACTCCAGAGCTCAAGTGATCCGCCTGCCTTGGCCTCCCAAAGGCTGTCAGCCACTGCACCTGGCTGACTTCGGGAGCTATTAAGGTAACTAGGAACTATTGGCACTATAGGTCAAATGGTTCCACATTTGTTATGGCATGTACCCCAAGCCTTTCTTCTATAAGAAGTATCTTCTTGGTTGAGTGCAATGGCTCACTTCTGTAATCTCAACACTTTGGCAGGGTAAGATGGGAGGATCGCTTGAGCCCAAGAGTTTGAGGCTACAGTGAGGTATGATCGCACTACTGCACTCCAGCCTGGGTGACAGAGTAAGATCCTGTTCAAGCGATTCTGCTGCCTCAGCCCCTCTAGTAGCTGGGATTACAGGCATGTGCTACCATGCCCATCTGATTTTTGTATTTTTA